ACATTCACTAATTACACCACTTGTGTCATATGGTTGGCATTCCTACCCCTGTTTGTTTTGAGCACGAGTACAGCCATCAGATCCGTTACACTGAGTTGTCTATTGAGTCTAAGCGGTGCCGTTCAGAGAGAGAGAGAGAGAGAATGATGTATTAGATAATATGAAATATAACTCAATCTTGATATAATTTGTGTGATTTGTATAACTGCAAAGATTACTATTAATATCTCACATGTCTGTTATATAATAAGTACAGCATTTGCTCTAATTTCACACACAATACACTGGTATTAAATGCCTTTTTCATTACAAAATAAATTTAGAATTGGATTTATTTTGCAGCGTTCAGAGACATGGAAGAAGTCAATCAAATGGTTATTAAATTTTCAATAGAAAGTAAAAAGTCTTTTAGGCTTCAAAACAGAGAAATTCAATCAAACTTTTATTTATCGCCAAAACTACGGCAAAAGTATAATTGATTTTTGTATTTAATGTTTTCAATCGATTCTGTGATATCTATATATAATACAGACACTAATTCTCTTCACACTATGACTTCAGTAAAGATTTTGGTAGTCTATTGGTATGGCTTCTCAATACACTATACTATACGTTGCGTTCAGTATATTATATATTGAGCTGTCATTAGCCGATCGCAAACACATTTATAGTTTTGCAGTGTTTTTCACAGACACCCTATGCGATCAGCAATTAGTGTTGCCAGGTTAAACTATGCAATTCCCACTGTTAATATGTTTTAACACAAATCGTTTATCAATTTATATTTCTGTGAGCTTTTATATGTTCTCCACAAGAGTCAGGTCTATATTCTTTGAGATTTAATTGAGATGTTGGCAACACTATTGTTATAATAGATAATTTGTATTATATTATTAATTGCTACCATCTCTTTCTCCCCGTCTATTGTTTTGTTTTTTAATTAAAATTAATGAAAAATTAATGTTTTTAATAATTTTCAGTAAAAATAATTTTCTAAATTTTGTTTGGCGTTTAATATTTCATAAAATATTTAATTATTGGTAAAATGTCAGAATGTTTTACGAAAATTATTAATCTGAACACAAAGTAGTGAATAATTAATTTTATTTTTGTAAATGTTTTCAAAACAAATTTGTTTATACAGTGAATATATAATTAAAATAACTGATAGTAACAAACAATACATAATTAAAATACAAAACCATTAATCTCAATAAACTAATAAAATATTAATTATTTATAAAATAAAATTCAGTACTAAGCCTATTATTAATTCCTATAAACAACATAATAGTATCTGATAGATAAGAATTAACTGTTGGTTAATATTTGCCAGGTACTCTACCATGCTGCAACCAAACTCTATGTCTGCCCATACAGGAGGCATACTTAACGTATACTGACTGGTGGGCTATCGGGACAATGGTGTTGGCGGTGTTGGGAATGACAGTAACGGCGTTCATAACTCTGGTCTTCTGGATATACAGCGGGACGCCTATAATCAAAGCGGCCGGACGTGAACTGAGTTACCTTTTGCTGAGCGGTATATTCATGTCATTCTGTATGACGTTTGTAATTGTGGCCAAACCTACGCCCTGGACATGTGGTATCACCCGATTCTTCCTCGGCTTCTGCTATACGGTGTGCTATTCAGCGATTGTCACCAAAACCAACAGAATCTCAAGAATATTTAGGCAATACATTTGCTTTCATTATGTAATCAATAAATGTTAACTGATTTTTTGTTGGCAAACAGGAGGCGTCGGTCGTGCTCTAAGCCCAAGTACACGTCCCCTCAATCTCAGCTCGTTATCACCGGCCTATTGATATCGCTTGAGGTGATAATAAACGTGTGTTGGCTTTTCCACGACAAGCCCGCCATCACACATGTCTACCCAACCCGTGAGGACAATATACTCATCTGTTTGGGATCTGATAATACTTCATATCTCGTTGGACTCATCTATCCGTCCGTTTTAATCGGTTTGCGACTCAAATAAATCAATAATTGAAAATTAAGGCAATAAATGATTTATATTTTATATCCATTTCATTGGACAGGTTTTTGTACGGTCTATGCGTTTAAAACTCGCAAATGTCCCGAAGGGTTCAATGAGGCCCGGTATCTGACATTCACTAATTACACCACTTGTGTCATATGGTTGGCATTCCTACCCCTGTTTGTTTTGAGCACGAGTACAGCCATCAGATCCGTTACACTGAGTTGTCTATTGAGTCTAAGCGGTGCCGTTCAGATCGCTTGTCTATTTGTACCAAAAGTAAGTTCTTGTCCACAAAATATGCCATTAATTAACTTTATTTATTGATTTTTAAACCTATTCTTCTTCTTCGATGCCATTCTTCAGGTATATATCGCTCTCTTGAAACCGGAGAAGAATACTAAAGAGAACGTTATGTGCAGTCATTCCCAGCATTTTAACCGAAATCGGGCCACAAATTATACGCAAACATCCGCCTCATCGGCGAGTCATGTCAATCATAATACCAGTCCTACCGGTGCTGGCAATCCCTCACTTATGGTTAATGGAGGTAAGCTTATGAACACCACTTGTGGATCAGTTATTAGTGATGTCACGAACTTTCTTATTATAAAATTAGTTGATAATGAAAAGAGAGAAATACTTTAATATAATTGTTGTCCAAATTATCAAAATAAGTATTGAACCCAATTTACGGTAATTGTTATTTTGTTTTCAAAATAAGCTTAAATTAATATAAATTGATTCAAGTATTTGTCAAATAAATTACAAAAACCAATGCTATTGTACTGTATATTAGATTTTTGTTTGTCTATTAAATTAGATATAAAAAGTAGTGGTATTTGAGAATAAATGACACCATAAAGTAAAAGTATTCAACAATTCTTATGAGAATAATCAGAGAGATAATTATATTTAAATGTTTTGAAAACAGCAATCAATTGTATGAGGCATTCATTTACTTTTCATTTAATCTTACAATTTATTTAACAACTCTTATTGTAGTTATTATTAAATAATAATCTTTTAAACCGTAAGTTTAGACTCTTATGATTAGTCACTAATGAATACAAATAATGGATATTTCCATCACATTATATTTAATGTCAAAAAAGTAATTATAATTTTAAATACATTATAATCCGTTTGACACCAAAAGTAATTAATTTTTCATATAATTTATTGATTAAAAAATTGAAGTTAAAAACAGATATAATCCATAGATGAAAATGATATGAAATGACATTTCAAACAAAATTAAAACTCAAATGAATAGATCCGATGGCGAAGATTAGCGCAACTCTATTGTCCAAATCGGTGAACAACTCAATGAACAACACATCCAATGCCTATAAAATGCCAAACATTTATCTTTAATTTGCAATTGATTTGATTAAAATATCTTTTGTACTTTTTGAATAATAAAAAAATCAAAACACGCGTTAATGCTTGAACACACTGTACATGTTTTCATTTAAAACACATTCAGATCTCATATACTATTCATTTGTCATTCAAAATATTAAGTTAATATCAATTAATAACTTCTTATATAACGATTAATTTGTATTTGTTTTGAAATAAATATAAGAATTAAATATTTAATGGAAAACAAATCATAGAATTTTTGAGATCATATCGGAGTTAACATTACTGACGATGGATTTGATCCAATCGTTCGTGCGATAAAAGTCCAGAAGAATGGCAAACGTCTGGAACGGAGACAACACCTGATTATCCCACTCCCAGACCACGAACTCGTCGATCGGTAATCGACGGCTTCGGATGCCATCACTCGTCGCCAGACTATAAGTGTTGATCCGTTGACTCGTGTGACCGGCGGAGAGGCCTATGATATACGCGTGACGGGTGTCTAGAGTTAGCAACGGTTCCGGAGAGTCGGCACTCAAGTAAACTAAATGCTGTTTCGGGAAATCAAATGTATATGAGTTGTGATGAAGTGTTGCCTTCGCTTTCAAGCGTTCATTCAACTGATGGTCAGTTGTAATGACACGAGAATTATAATGAGTTAAGTGTAAATCAAATGATTTGTTGCGCTTATTATCGCTGTTTAAGTCAATGATGGATGACATCTGTGTCCATAAGTGTGACACTTCTTTGGCCTCCATTTGTGCCATAAATTGCAAATCAAAGATCACTTTTGGTCTCAAAGTCTTCTCCGTTTCATTGAAATGACAAAACTTTTTGCCAAAACTTTTCGTATAATTAATTTGCGCTAAAAATGATATTTTATTGATTTTAATAATTGAAAACATTTCATAAATATACTAATTATTGAATCAAATATTAATACAGTATATAGATTCATAAATATGCTTGTTATTAATAAAATTTAAAATTAATTCAATCGTGACATGAATTACAAACATTTCTAAAAGCACCACGAACATTTTCATAAATATCAAAACAGAGCATATTATTTACAAAATGTTTTAGAAGTGACATCTAATTTGAAACTTTATAAATGAACTTTAACTTTATAAAACTTTTAATTATGCGCCTTATTATGGCTTTTGTTAAAATATAACGAGATTTAATTTATTTAAAATATAATTTAAAGTAAACCAATATTTTTCTTAAATATACAAATTGGTCGCGAGATATGATAACATAATTCAAAACATAACAAACATAATTCATAACAAAATTCAAATTAAATTTAATACAAAATCAAAAATCTGTCGAAGAATTGAATGCAATCATGAACTTAGAAGACGACCACAATTGCAAATTATTCTCTTATGTTTTGACCATCTTTTATGTTCACTACATTTCGTGGCTAAAGACCGAAACAACGAGTCGATTACTTCAGAGTAGAGCCAAACCTTTGATCGAAAGATTGCAAAAACAACTCAAAATAAGCGAATCTGTGGTCAAAAGCATTGAATCGGAGGCCAAACAGATGGCAAAGGCTTACATAAAGTCACTCATCGTTAAGACAGAGAGCGATGAGGAGTCGGACAAAAGGGACTGGAGTTTCACTTTTAAGGCTTCAAATGGCCAGCAATGCAAGTGTGGCATCGATTCGGTGACCGAATGGGACATTCAGTACGCGTACGACGAGACCAATCAGTTCCACATCGATGTCGATATCTATGAGAATAGTTCGTCGATTGAGAGATCGTTTTCGGTGATGGACACAGAAATCAGCGGTTTTGTCGGCTTTAATCGTGTGCTAACTGTCGACACAATTGAACTCAAAGTGTCGTTCGAGTGGTCCGTCGATGAGATCAGTTGCGGACAACTGATGCCATTGCCATCATTTGTGGCCCAACACCTGTCCACAGGTCTACTGATTTTAGGTCCCGATTACTGGCACTTCTTTCGCACGCCTTTCCACGCGTTGGCCAAACATCAAGACATAGACATCAGAAGAACCGTATTCTCGACGCTTCACGAAATGGCTCTCATCTTAAAGCCCGCCGAAAGAGTGGATCAGTTGTCGCCGTATTTCCAGACCTATCACAGCGACCAAAGAGTTTGGCCCAACAATAAGCTCTTCTTCGAGAACTGTGTCGTGTTTTTCGATGATCTTAAGACAGAGACACAGATGAAAGTGCTGTCAGACCTGAAGCCACTTCTCGATCACAAGTCTAAGTGTACGCAGAGATCGAAGAGAGCGCTGACGAAGAAATTGATGGCAAATATTGGCGATTATAGCGACCAAGAGATCAACGACTGTGTCCTCGACTTCGCGATGGATGTGTTGGCGACAAAGACCTCCGATTACGACATCCAATTGGTGTCCAAACTGTATCTCTTGTGTGCGAAGCGATTGTTTCCCGAAGAGCTGTCATCGGATGCCGACCCGACTCTCTTCGACAAACAAATTGAGTTTTTAGACGAATCGCTGAAGAGGTTCGCGAAGAACAGCTCCACAGCCGACAGAGCGCTCATGACTGCCATATGTCAGCATTTACTGCACGAAGAGATCCTATTGTGTCCCAAATCAGAGACCAGATAATCAATGAATTGCCAGAAAATCGACAGAAAATTATTGTAATTATCTTTTTATTTCAAACCAATAAAACATTTCAATTTTGAAACACAAAAATCATTGAAACAAATTGTCATTAATTATAAAAGCATTGAAAAACAAATTAAATATTAAATGAAATAAAGTGTTGGTTTGAGTCCATCGGTGGTACGACTGGATGTGTTCATTGGATGTGTTCGCTGGATGTGCTCACTTGCCGGCGGCCTTCTTCAGGTGATACCTGACGATAATGAAGGGCACGGCCCACGGGGTGGCCATGAATATGGTATACTTGATGGCAAACAAGCGGTGATTACTGATGTCAAAGGGAAGATTCTGGACACACATCGGGGTAGAAATGGTAGTCATATAACACGTGTAGTGTGTGTTTGTGTTGTCGATGGCATACCTGTCCCTTAAAGGTCTCTTCGTGATGAGACCAACGCTTGGGTGCCGCTCCCGATGACCAACGAGTGGCCAATAGTGGCCGCAATCGTCCCGAAAGCGCTTTCAATGGCATTTCAATTGTGCTGTGAATTGATTTGTGAAATCACTTCAAATGTGCGGTCAGTTTGACTGCAGATATGGAAACGACTCGTGAATACAGTTTTTACTTGTGTTATACTTTTTTACGCACAGAATCTGCCGTACAGTCTATGCGAGGTATAACTCACACACAGTGTTTTGATGACTGCTTTGAATGACGATCTGTACAGTTTAGTGTCTGATTCTGTGTTTTACAGTACAGTGTATGCTGTAAAGTGATGGGTATATGTTTAATGATATTTTTTAGTTAATTAATTAAATGTTTAAGAAATTTTGATTATAATCGATGGCAAGGATTTATTGATGAGTTGTAATTGATTTTTAAAATTATTAATTTGTACAAAAGATAGAAATTATAAAATGATTACATTTTAAATGCTATTATAAATAACTTCAACCTTTATTTTAAATCAATAGTTTTTAACAATAATTCAATTATTGAATAACATTTCCATTAAATAAATATATCTTTTAATTAAATAATGTCTAAAATTATGTATATATTTAACATTAAATTAATAAATATTATATTAATTTTATGGGAATTTAAAACCAATGGAATTTATTATGTATTTTATATATAAGTTATAATCTTTTTGTAATAAAACTATAATCTAAAATTATGTATATATTTAACATTAAATTAATAAATATTATATTAATTTTATGGGAATTTAAAACCAATGGAATTTATTATGTATTTTATATATAAGTTATAATCTTTTTGTAATAAAACTATATTTATTTCATATCTAAACGATTATAATTTGTATTCAAATATGTGTTTCAGTTTTTGTGATAATTTCAATGAATATTTTGTTTTAATTTGTGTTTTATTTAAATTTATGATTAAGTGGTGTCGAAGACAACTGATCCCCATTCGTGAGGCTATAGTTGTCGGCCGATGTGTTGTTAGCCACAGTAGTGGTGGCCGTTGTGGCCGTGTTTATCCGTAACCTACACAACAAGTAACTCAACAAGTGGCTAAACCTGTTATCTCAACGCGATTAGAAGCGGTAGCCTAGATAAGTAAACTCAAAATTAAAACAAACTTTACAGTAAAGTATAGTAAAAAATCTAAGGATTATATCTGTTTTTAACTTCAAGTTTTTTAATCAATAAATTACATAAAAAATTAATTACTTTTGGTGTCAAACGGATTATAATGTATTTAAAATTATAATTACTTTTTTGACATAAAATATAATGTGATGGAAATATCCATTATTTGTATTCATTAGTGACTAATCATAAGAGTCTAAACTTACGGTTTAAAAGATTATTATTTAATAATAACTACAAAAAGAGTTGTTAAATAAATTGTAAAATTAAATGAAATGTAAAGTTAAATAAAAAGTAAATGAATGTCTCATACAATTGATTGCTGTTTTCAAAACATTTAAATATAACGGTAATTATCTCTCTTATTAGTCTCATATGAATTGTTGAATACTTTTACTTTATTTTGTTATTTATTCTCAAATACCACTACTTTTTATATCTAATTTAATAGACAAACAAAAATCTAATATACAGTACAATAGCATTGGTTTTTGTAATTTATATTAATTTAAGCTTATTTTGAAAACAAAATACCAATTACCGTAAATTGGGTTCAATACTGATTTTGATAATTTGGACTACAATTATACTAAAGTATTTCTCTCTTTTCATTAACAACTAATTTTATAGTTAAAAAGTTCGTGACATCACTAATAACTGATCCACAAGTGGTGTTCATAAGCTTACCTCCATTAACCATAAGTGAGGGATTGCCAGCACCGGTAGGACTGGTATTATGATTGACATGACTCGCCGATGAG